TGGGCTATTCCATCAACATCAACTTCAAATAAAAAATTTATGATAGCAAACAATATTTCTTTGCAGTGACGTGTTTATAATTACAATATACAATCGTGATTGCTTCTTGAGAGCACAAATACAACTTTTAAATCAGTGCTGGAATTTACTTGCAACTTTCAGCCGATTTTCAGCTTGATTCTTGTCCCTTACCTCACTAACCTGCGTAGTCTAAAAGTTGTAAATAAATTCCAGCACTGCTTCAAATTATCAACATGTGCTGTTCAGAAACGAATAGGGAGTTTTTGCAATAACGTGAATCCAAATACGGTGAACGCTAAAGTCAAGTTATCTTTTCCTTAAAGTAATTGTTAAGAAGAAGATAATCTGATCTTAGCTTTCACCACATTTTTTAATAAACGGTATTGCAAAAATCTCCTATTATTACAAGAAGTAGATGAAAAAACCCTACTTTACCCTATATCCAACACTGAGTGAGTTTATAATGATGTCAAATTATTTTCTCTACCATTTATTGACTCAATTGTTCATAAGCCAATATAATACATACATCTTATAATACATGTTATAAAGAATGCTAATGTAAAGCATAATTATTACCATCTAGAAGAACCACTTTTTATTCTTCGTAACCATTGGGTAGAGCATTCATTTTAGGATTATGAAAAAGGCTGTGATTACCATCTCCCCAAGGAAATTTCTAAACATAATATATCATTAAAAAATAATATTAATTATAAAGGAAGTAAAAAGGGCTATATCTTAAAAGTTTATATCAATTTCTTACACTTTGGCATGCACATATATATATATATATATATATATATATATATATATATGCATATTTTGGTACCTTGGTTCTTATCCTTAAGTGTTCGTATGCGACAAATTCTGGCTGTTCATCATCATGATGTGCCTGATGATGCAAATAGCAATTAACCATAGCCAGAGCTATCACTGGGAAGCCTACGAAAAACGAAATCCTCTTCCACATCAATTGCGTTTGATCTGTAAAGTACACAGCGTTACTATTATGTAATGTTCATTGATAATTTATTTGACATTCTCCATATGTTTTCTTTTCATCTATAAAACATTGTACGCTATCATAACATTATTTAAATATAAAGACACTTCGTACTCAAGTCTTAATTAATAACAATAAATTTAACAAAAACGGTATTTTGTTGTAAAAAATATTCGTCAGTGTGCGATATTGTGCATACAAATACCATTGTATTTAAATATGTAAATAATATATTTAAAAAAAAATTATCAGTATTTCTCATTTATGTTCACCTGTAACGCCATGAGTATCACCAAATTTAGGAGCGGCCGTCGAATATTTTCTGGAAAAGGAGCGAGCAAACTTCATCCAAGAAGCCATTCTTATTCTTCTGCTGCTGTGCTCAGCTCAGCTGCTCTTACTTTGGTCAGAGAGAAACCTGAGAGGCCATGCCAGCCTTTTTCCTATTACCGTTGATACGCCCGTACACTACCGCCAGTATGTACATCCATTTTCGATTTGGGAACTATGGGACTACATCCATTTTCTATCACTGTCGATAAAATCGTATCGTCGAAAGTGAGAGTCCAGCAGTGGAATTCTGTAACTCGTTACGCAGTCGTTATGAGTTCGTAACGACAGTTGCGCAGCTTTTTTACCATATAAAATATTTGCGCGATTGTCGTTATGAGCACATAACGATCGCATAACGAGTTACAGAATTCCACTGCAGGAGCCGTATTCTGTACACGCCTACCGACAACTGTCGGTTCGGTACGATAACGACGTCTGTCGCTTGCATGATCGATACACATCGTCGAACATAATTCTGTACACCGTTACTACCGACACATATCGTTGCAAGCGACAACCGTCGGTATGACTTTATCGATAAAGTACAGGCACAGAAAAATGTTAAGACGATGTTTCTCAACCAATAGTATTACAGTTCTAACAAAAGAAAAATTGTGAAGAGGGAGATTTAGATTATAGGTTATCCATTTTGGAGGCGGGAGCCATAAATTAAAGAAGAAGAAGAAAGAAGGTTATCTAGGTTATCATATATAATAAAATTATATATGAAAAATTATACATTTAAATAGATATTCGAAATGGCTTCCCAAGGAAAGTATGTATTAATGTCTACATACATACATATATCTGGGGAAAAAAAGATCCGTGTCAAATTATATGTATAATTACGTATAATTATATATTATTTATTACTAATTATTACTACTTATTATTATCACTTATTATACTTAATAATAATAGGGGACAGTTGATAGTCTTTTTAAATAAATTTTTTACACATAACTAATAAATAGAATTAGAATATAAATATTCTAATATTTCCATACTTCTCTCCATATATCCATTTCCGTACTTCTCTTCCATACTTCTATCCTGTATATATTGTTTATAATTATGTATAGTTAATAATATGTGATCATATATCAATAATATATATGAATTATGTAGACTATGTATAAATTATATCTTCTTTCTTTCCTTCTCTACTTGTCATATTTATTTTATTATCATACAAAAAAATCTCGTGCGTCTCGAACTACGCAAATCCAATACGAAGAGTTAGTTAAATATATGGAAACCCATTCAGAATTTGCTGCCGGAAAATTTTTAACGAAAGAAGGTAGAATCCATCATAACCAACAATGGGAAGAATTGGGAACATTTTTAAATTCATTATCTGGACCCGGAAAGACAACGAAACAGTGGCAGACGGTAGTTAAGCATATATTTTATTATTTATGTTAACAATTATGTTTTTACTTATATGTTTATAATTGTTTAAAATAATGTAACAAGTATATTAACATAATAATATTGTAAAACATACTGTACATATGAATTATTTTTACAAGGTATGGAGAGATTTGAAAAGCAATGCTTCGAAAAAAACTACAAAAGAAATGAACGGAATCGAACAGGAAATTTTCCAATAAGGTCAGATCCTTTGGATAATTTAGAACAGTGTGTTATTGCTTGTATAGGTTTAGATTATGTACAAGGTTCCGTAATTTGTCCTGATAGTACACCAGAAGAAGAGGTATATGTGTATGAGATATATTTATTTTTCTTGTAGTGTGTAATAAGAATTATTTTTATTATACAGTAACATGGGTTTGGCAAAATCCATCGGAATCCTGTTTTCTGATTGGTTTAGAGAGCGTCGTACAATGCACATCGGATGCAG